ATCATGGAAAGCATAATTAATCATCTATTTTAATTCTCAAGTGAAGACAAAACATTGTATTTGACAGATAAAAATCAAGCTTAAGACAGGCATCCTAATCACAATCCAAAATAACCTATCACAAATCATTGTATTTGACAAAACATTGTATTTGACAGATAAAAATCAAGCTTAAGACAGGCATCCTAATCACAATCCAAAACATTGTATCATGCAGGTGTTATTCATAAACCTGCTTGGAAATCTAAATTTTTTTTTGTACATATGGCAGGATAAGGAATTTTTAAGTGCTTAGATGGTAAAGGTGTGTAACACAAATCTCTAGTAAAATCTTGTTTAGCTAATATGACCAGTTATCTTTATTTTGGGATTGTATTTCTAAACATCACAGTCCTTAAACCTCCAGGTTCTCATTGTGTTATTGTATTCCATTTGGCTGTGACCTAACTAAAATATACAAACTAAGCTACCGATTATCTGTCAACTATTAGGCTGTGATCAAATTAATAGTATGAAATGGAAACAATACTTTAGCATAAAACTGTCAACTATTAGGCTGTGATCAAATTAATAGTATGAAATGGAAACAATACTTTAGCATAAAAATAGCCAAGAAGATAGCTGAGTAATCTAAAAATTAATAGTATGAAATGGAAACAATACTTTAGCATAAAAATAGCCAAGAAGATAGCTGAGTAATCTAAATCTTATGTCAAATTCATAAACAAAAGCTAAAAGGTTCTCCAAAAGCTTGCAATATCTGCATACCAACAAAGATTAATTGCAACAGACTAGAAAAAAAAATCAGAAACAAAATTACATGAACTTAATTTGAGTTTTCTTCCGGTATATGTGTATAAAATTAGCGTGAACATGATGTGCTTGATTATAGATATATGGCATGGCCAAGGCGTCTGTTGATTACAAGTGTACACAAACATATAAATCATTCGATTTTTCACAAAGGTAAGGAGAAAGTATGAAAATCAAGAAATAGGAATTTATTTAGATAACATACCTCAGATCCTTTGCCTCCCGTCGGCTGAAAATTTCCCTCTTCTTGATTGTTCCCCTAAACTATCCATATTAATAGTTGTGAAAGATCTCTCAGGTGAAAAAAAGTAGAGGGAAATATTAGAGGGAAATTTTGGAGGGAAAGAAAAAGAGGGAAACACATTTGGGGGGAAATTTTACAGGGAAATCGGAAGATCTTACCTTCCAATTTTTGCTACCGAATTCCGCAGCCGGCCATCAAAAGATACAGATGAAATCAATTTTTCTTAAATTCCTTTGGCTACCCTCGCGTAAGAAGGCGGAACAAGTCTTGTTCTGCCTTCTCACGAGTATTAGTAAACCCTTGGGTTAACGGGTTAAATGGGATAAAACGCTCACGTGCGGGTTTGTTAGTCCTTGGGCTATTTTTTGTGTTTGGCAGTCTAATGAAGGGTTAAACCTCCTTAATCCCCCATTTATCCTCTTGCCAAACGCAGCCTTAAGGAATAATCCTTTGTGACCCCTTATTTTTTCTATCAATTTTTCGCTGTTTCCGTTATCCAATTAATAATATTTACAGTTCTGGTTGGAGACCACTTGAAAGTTCCAATTAAGATAACTCATGTCTCTAATTTGAGTGTTGACATGGATGAAAGCCTGAAACTATACATTGTTGTTCTTTCATTTTAAATTTAATTTTAACTATAGAATTTATTTCTAAACTCACGCATTTTGAAATACCCTCAAAATCCCCAGATACCAAATTCCATTATTTTTAACACAAGTATCTATGACATACATACAAACTAATTAAAAATGTGAAATACCCAGATTACCCTCTTCGATCTCCTCCACCGATTGGTGATGTTTTTCTTTCAAATTAAATCTTGATCACCCCACTTAGCTTTATGGGTCGCCAGATTCTGTAATCTGAGTATGTTATGCTTTTAGTGTCAATACATAATACAAAATAGGAGGGAATTAAATCGAAGGAGTGCAGGCGTTTTGCCTTTGAACAACGACCCTACCGACTTCAGGCATGTTATTATCGCCTTGTGGGACCCACATCTCAAGCATTTGGCAATTTGATACATCATATCATACTCCCTTTAAAACCACGAGTTCGGAAAAATCTTTTAGTAGACAAAAATACCATTTGAATTCAAATATTAATCTATTAAGTAAGAGTAAGTTGATAAATTAATGAATTCTTATTAGCTATATATAGTATGAAGATAAGGATATAGTTTAAATTAAAATGTAAACCTGAATGAAATAACAGGTTAGGTAAATTAGACGAATTATTAAATTCCAAATTTACCCCCTCGCTCTTATATGTGATCAATAATCAAACTGCAAACAATTATTCACATGTTACATGATTAATAATGGCAACCTGAGAATAATTATTCACATGTTATATGATTAATAATCACACACAACGTGGCGATCTTTCACCGACTAAAATTTAAGTAGTTTTCGGTACGCTTAGGTTAATTAGACAATTTATTAAATGCTAAATTTACCCTTGTTTTCGTCGAAAGTCGCATTCATCATTGATTTCATTAAAACTTTAGTCGTTTACAAATGAATTCAAATAACGAAAAAAAATTACAACTCTCTTGAAAATAAACGCAAGATCCGTTTATCATCTCTTGCTTGCGTGGGTTCTTCGTCGGTGTCGGGGTTTATCCGTGGACGGCCGTCGATTAGATACGATTGTCGAAAAATTGGTAGAGCTCCTACTTCACCAAGGAAGTATTCGCTTGAAACGCTGAAATCGACCAAGCAAAATCAGTAGCTCTTCTCGAGATTAAGACAAAGCCTAATCTCAAGGAATGGACGGGGGGATACGGGTGCAGATCCTTCGAAAGCCTTCCTCTTTATGCTGAAGTTCGGCGGGATCTCGCTGACCTTCGCTGAAATTTCGTGCTCCTTGACTCCTCAATCCAGCAGCACCTCGTCCTCTTGATAAAATTCCAGATCTGTAAAATGGAGGCCTTAGGCTGATATTTATAGGCCTTGGGTGCGGGGATTTGGATGAGAACGAGTGATTTGGCCTTATCTTCAGTTAACAACAGCCTAACCACGTTTGGGGATGATATCAAGTGGGTTAGGAACCCCTGAAACAGATAAAAACTACGAAAACCGCTTTAAAACCGCCAAAACGTGTTTTGGGCTCCGGACTGTGCGACGAACGTCGCTGACCCGCGGGGGGCGCAGGTCGGACAGATCCGACCTGCGCTTGCGCGGGTAGGTCTGTACCGTCTTGCGTTGGCATGGGTCTATCGCCTCTACCGAACTGTTTCTCTTTTTTGGCGCTTTTCCTTCCAGGACTTGTTCTTTTCGTTGTTTCATGTATTTGGTCGACTTGTTGACTTGTACGCTTCGTTGCGGGACTGACCGTCGAACGCGCGTTCGGTTGACATGCGCGCGTTGATTGACGTGCGTATGTTGATGATGCGCGCGTGTTGTCCGACGAGCGCGAGCTGATTGAAGCACGCGTGATGAATGACACGCACGAACTAATTGACGAGCGTGTGTTGACCAACGTGCACGAACTGCTTGATGCGTGCGTGTTGACCAACACGCGCGAGCTAATTGACGCGTGTGTGTTGACCGACGCGCGCGAACTGATTGACGCGGGCGTGTTGACCGACACGCACGAACTGATTGACATGCGTGTTGACCGACTCGCTCGAGCTGATTGACGCGCGCGAGCTGACCGACGTGCGCGAGCTCATTGACGCGCGCGTGTTAACCGACGAGCACGAGCTGATTTACGTGCGCGTGTTGACTAACGCGCATGAGCTGATTGACGCACGCGTGGTGACCGACGTGTACGAACTGATTGACGCGTGCGTGTTGACTGACGCGCGCGAGCTGATTGACGCGCGCGAGCTGACCAACGCACGCGAGCTGATTGACACGCGTGTGTTGACCGATGCGGGCGAACTGATTGACGTGCACGTGTTAATTGGGTGAATCTTCTTGACTCTCCCACTCATTGCTTCGAGTTGCGTGCGGGAACTTATAGGCAATTTTAGACGCCTACATATACCCCCTTCAAAGTGTTTCAGCCTCATTCTTTTATAGAGGAGTCTGAAATACTTTGGATATGATAGATCCCCACCTTCAATCGGTGTCAAAGGACCTACAATTAACTCCACTTCTTGACTTCTCCGCATTTCAGCTTATTTAGTATTTTGTCGAATAGCTAAAATTCTTCCGGTACTGCGTTTATCGTCTGACCGTTGTCGAAGTCTTGAATCGAAATTTGTAAGTTGATTTTGGCATGTGTCATTGAGTTGACTTTGAACTAATTATCTACGTCACAACGCGTTGACCGGCGTTGACCGGCGTTGACTCCAGAGTTTTGTATCGCTCGGCGTTGACTTGAGGAGGACCAGTTTATACTCGTATACTCTTGGGAGTTTCGGGACTCAGTTTAACCTCGTGTACCCGTCGGAGGATGCCGGGTTATCCTTAAGAATATTATGTGTAATATTCTCCCGGAACTTCTCATCAAAAGTGGGAAATAGTTTAGACTCGTGTACCCATTGGAGTATTCGTGGGTTTCGAATATCTCAAATATGAGCGCCAATACTGCGAAATCACCCAGAAATATAAAATTGGATCCCGAATATTCCGAAAATAGGCAAAAACACCGTGAAGACACCCGGAAATATAAAATTAGGTCTCGAATTTCCCAGAAATAAGCAAAAACGCCGCGAAGCCACCCGGAAATATAAAATTAGGTCTCGAATTTTCCGGAAGTGAGCGAAAACAAGTGAGAATATGACGAAACGACCGTCGGATTGTGCCCGACCCATGCGAACGCAGGTCGGGTCTATTCGACCTGCGTGAATGCGGTCAGATCTATCTGACCTACGTATGCACGGGTCAGATTTGATCCGACCCGCGTACTCGCGGGTCGGGCGGTGATCCGACCCGCATAAGAGCGGGTCAGGGTGGCTTGGGAATTAAATTCCGATTCCCCTCTTCCTCTTCTAATTTCGGTTTCTTCTTCACCTCAGTTTTGGGTTTCTTTCTTCTTCAAGTTCTGAATCTCCAAGACTCCTTCCACCCAAAGAATACTAACTCAAGGAAAATTCCCATCTTTAAATTCCCTATTTCCTCCTTACTCTCTTCTTCCAATTCGGATTCAAGCAAAAGGGGAAGATTCAAGCCTAGGGTTTCGGCCAATCATTGAGCTCGAGCGTTTGGGGGTTCTTTCGGCCAAGCTTCGTTCTTCAAGAGTTCCAGGTAAGACTCAATCTCTTTGCTTCAATCTTGGTTGAATCTGTGATTTTTAGCTTGATTGTTGAACCCTAGTTCTTGGATTTTTGGAAAAAACTGAAATTGTCATTGGGTTTGATTTTGACTGAATTTCTTGGCTTCAATTGTGAGCATGGCTTGATAACTACAGTCCCAACCCTCTAATCTTGGGGAAAACTGAATTTTTTGGGTTTTAGGGGGTTGATGGTGGCCGAAATTTTTTTGAGATCTTCGAACTGTACATGGCTGAATTTCCTCTCCATTGTTGATGACGGCCGAATTTCTTCAGATGACGGCTGGTTTTTAATGACAACTTGTACATGACCGAACTCTTTCAGCTCTTGGTTGATTGATGGTTGAATCCATGGTTGTAGCTGAATTTATTCTTTTAACTCTTGGTTGATGTCGATGGTTGGCGGCTTGAATTGAATTTCGAGCTTAAATTTATGTGTTGACTAAAAACCAAACCTGTATGTGAGTGGAGCCTGATTTGTACATGGCCGAATTTTCCTTTAGCTCTTAGTTGATTGATTGATAATTCAAATTTGTAATTCTTATGGCTATGTGACTTGAATCTATGTGACCGAACTCTTGTATATAATTAAACTTGTGTATGACTTGAATCCGAACTTGTATGTGGTCGAATGACTTGAATCCGAACTTGTATGTGATTGAACTCTTGTATATGATTGAACTCGTGTATGCCTTGAATCCGAAGTTGTATATGGCCGAACTCTGACTTTGCATATAACTGAATTCCTTTGCTTGGTTTGATTGCACATGAAGCGTGAGTCATGTGGGAATTCACTAAACATGGTTGTGAATGGGAACCAAACCAAATTCTCGATTTAGGGAACATATCGAAGCCTTGATTCTTGACTTTGATCTTGTGTATGACCGCAACTTCTTATTTTAATTTGTCGAGCTTTGAAGTTGATGAATCGAAGCTTGAATATGAATTGGCGCTTGAATGAAGCTTAGTTTCGAATTCTTGTCAAAATTAAGCCATTGGGATGCTTGGTTGTACAAATGGCTTGGTATCATTTAATTCTTGTTCATACCCATGTATTTATGATTCTGAAACTCCATTTAATACCCATGCTCTAATTTCGGATGATTCTGTGAGCTTGTGAATCAGTATGTTGACGTGGTCGAGACCCTATGTTTGACTTTGCGACCCTCAACTTGATTTTCCCTTCGAATTTTCATGTTCGATTATGGATGTGAGCTATGTATGAGGCGCTTAATTCGCTTGACTTGTATATTTGATTTTCCTCTCACTTTAACTTGAATTGAGAATGCTGTATAGGTTTAATTGGACCTTCAACTGGAAAATTCCATTTTGTAGAATTTCAATCAAAGATTCACAATTTCCCTTTTTAATGATATACTTCTCAATTTCTCTGAATAATTGAATTGTTGGTCCCCATTACAGATTAGCTATGTCGATGAGGAGATCACGCCTCCCGAGGAGCCGCTCAGCTACTCAGTCACCTGAGAGAGAGCGTCTATCTTTCACCGGTAAGCCCTTGTAATTTCCCGCTCATGAATTCAATTTTTTATCGTATCATATTGCATATCGCATTCCCTCTTTGTCCTCCTTGGTGAGGCGGTCGGGAAGAGCTGATATCGTCCTTTGTGGGGGTGGATGCTTCTATATTACATCCCCGCTCTGTTCTTCTTGGTGAGGCAGTTGGGAAGAGCTGATATCCTCCTTTGTGGGGGTGGATGCTTATCAGATATGTTTTGCTTGGTCAAAACACATCTTAAGGTAATATGAGGCGATTTTTTCTGCCGTATCATGTTCCGTGAGATAGGGTGCATCACCGCACTTTTTGCGTGACAATGTATGTTATCTTGTGAGTTCGTGATACAGTTAAAATCGTCTCGCCAATTACAAGGTAGTGACTCTATCTCATGGATTAGTGAAAAGAGTTCAACGCCCTGTGTTGCATTGATATTTCTTCATAAACGCGTTCAATAAATACGCATTCTTCATTTCAGTTGAATACCTGGCGACGTTGTTTTCTTAATTTGAGATAGATGGCCATAGGATCAGATATTACACTGCTGTTGATAACCCAGCGTCAATTCTGCACATTTCTCAATTTGCTTTGGACCTCCCAAATGAATTCTCTAAGTTAGTACGGGAGGGGGGTCATCGCATCACGCACCAGTTAATTACAGACGTGTCATTCGCTGAAGATACAGATCATGCTCATCCTTTAAGGAAGACATATTACATGTTCGGTGATTCCATGACGGATCCAGACGTCATGAACCTCCAAGATGAGTGGTGGTTACACAGTGACGGTACGACTTGATTATACCTTCCCCCGTTTCCTCGTCACCATTCGCTAACAGAATTACAGGGGTAAGCGGTTACGCGACAGATGCCATGGACCTTGACAGAAGAGCATACCAATATCCCTTGCGGATACGTCACCAACCATTCACTCCTAGGTTCCTGTGGCAGAAAACACATTACAGGGTTACACCCAGGCGTGATGGGATTGGAGGACCCGCCTAAACGGGAACTACCTATAATAGCTCGCACCATGAAGAATCGCCTCGCTGAGTTAGGGCGTGAGCTACCTATTGAAAATTACAGGTGCTATGGTTGGTCTCATTCTTCAGACAAATCATGGTGGGGGAGGATGACAGGTTATGTCCTCCACCGATGGGGTGCTGAGTTGAAGTCAATATGATTGTATGAAGATATTTGGACCACCTAATACGGATTACCGGTGAACGCTCTTCATTTCATGGGATTAATAGAGCTGTACAATCCAGATACTAACACCTTTCTTACCCGGAACGGATAATTGGGACTACCCTTCCATGAGATGCACAAAGTCTCCGACCTGCAATTGGGAGATATGCTGTATCAAGAATATTTTTCCTCTAACCGGGAGCTACATCAATTGAAGATCCACAAGCCCGCTCGATACGACACGTTATGGGAACTCACGTATCATTATCAGATTGCTTTAGCCGGAACTAACCCGGTTGCGAGGAAGAAGTCTCCTCAAATAAGCTTGAAGTAATTATCTTTCTATTTATTTAAGAACTTAGAGAAACATAATGAGGCAGTTTGTGAGTTGCAACCGTTGACTTCCTCGGAGATTAACAGACTGATTGAGAAGTGCGGTGCCCACTCCTATACTACCGCGGGTGCTCAAGGGAAATTCATTGCGGGTACTAAATTCAAAACCTTTTTATGGTACGCCCAAAAGTCCATTCATCCTAAAACTTTATTGGCTGGTTATATAGCACTTTGGTTGAAGAAGTGTGTAGTACCATATCAGACCTCAGATGCCTTGCCAATAGAAGTACTATTTCCGGCTGTCCAGCTTGCCTATGGAAGAAGCCTATCTCTTTTGCCAGCAATGATCACCGACATACATCACGGGCTTCGTCAGGTGGTCACAGCTTTTACTCAAACTGATGAGACCCCATCCACGGAGATCCCTATGGAGAAGGCAGAGCTCCCTTACACCTATCTGATGGGGGTGGCTGGTTCTTCATCGCCCTGATCTGATGTCGCCTCCTACTAATGCAGATCTATCTACTCCTCTGCTACAATTGTTCGAAGGGTGTAGATGGAAAGCTCGGGACCTCTTGGAAGTTAGGAAGACTTTACATATGCACAAGGGTTGGGTAATCAATCTATGTTTCCCTCGCTTTGCCAGCAGATATGGTGGGATGCTTACCGACATAGAAGCGCCTGGAACCGATCGGACTTCTCTCGATGTTGGGTGCTTCAGGTGGCTCATGAATATAAGACCTGACCATCTTCTTTTCCGAGTAAAGGAGCGCTGTTATTTAGAGCTATATTTGCCGTGTCGGTTCACCCGTCAATTTGGATACGACCAGTTATATGTCGGGAATCCGAATCAATGGTTCTATACTCGCGGTGGATTAGTGGACGGCGTTCATGCTTCGCTGTGGAATGTGACGGGCTGTACTGATGCCAAGTTCAGTCTTCCGAATACTGATCGCTACTTAGAGCTCACATATTTATGCTGCAAATGGATTATGGCAGCCAACGAAACTGTTCCTCTAAGATCAATTAAGGAGTTAATGGCCGAAGCTGCGTCGCGCATCGCTGAGAGGATTGTTCGAGAAAATCTGCAGGAACGAAGGAAACACGACAATAAACTCGCTGGTCCCTCAGGCAAAGGCAAACAGAAGATGGAGGAAATAGAAGAGGAATCATTCGCTTTTGACGAGGAAACTTCTGAAGAGGATGAAGGCACTATTGGTGGTATTATAGAGGTCAACAGGAACTTTGAGGAAGACGCGGCAGGTTTGTCTGAGTCTTTTTATAAAGATCTATGGGACTTATCGATTGCTGATCGAGATCGTCGACTTAAAGCTCGAAAAAATGGAGAATTTTGCCTACTTACAATAGAATGATGGTTGAACTTTCAGATGTAGATTCCGAAGAAGAAGAGGGGAGATGTAACCTTGTCCCTCGTACTCGATCTCGGGCTACAACTCAAGCAGGACCGCAAGTTGAGTCGCGTGCCGCATCTACACAGGACAAACCTGTGGATCTTAAAGAGACACGACCTACCAAGTGACTAAAGTTAACCATCAAGCGACACGCTAAACCTCAGGTTTCTCAAACGGAAGTGGCTGACGAGACACCCATTGGTGAGGGAGGTAATATTTCAACTCTTGTCATTTTTTCGGTCTTTTCCTCTTCCAAGCTTTAGACTTAGCAAGATTTATATTCTAGAGGGTCATGACGAAGACGCAATGATGTATGACACCCCTTCTCCCGACTTAGCCTTTTTTAAGGGATCTTACTCCGTGCCACAAGCAGATGAAGCCGTGGGCCAGGATCTGACAGGTGCTGAAACAGATGTGGCCCCTGGAACTGGTGAAGGTACCGTTGTAGGATCTAATTTGTCCACCATGATCTGTAGCCAAGGTACCCCTGATGCGGCATAATTATGTACCAAAATTGTAACTGCACAATTGATCAAGTTATAGTATAAAAAAAATATCGATCCCACGAGGAAGGTGATTTTAAGAGATTATTAGAATTGGTTCTTATGTTTTGTGCGTGACAATTAGAAATAAGGAATAAGTGTGATTATGGAGAGAGATGTGATGAGTGATTTTTGTGAATATATGCAAGAGATAATAAATTGAATTTTAGAGAAGAAAGAATCAAAGAATAAATGAAATCACAAGGCAAGAAAGAAGAATGAATAAAATCAAGAAATAAAACCACGAATGAAAAGAAAATTTAAGAAAGTTAAGATGAAGGATTCAAAAGATGTAAGAAATCTAGAATATAATCCACTAGCTAATTTTAATTATAAACTACAAACTATTCTTTTTTTATCATAATTCAACTTAGATTTATTAAGCATAGACTATCAAACCATTTAAGAAAAGTATAACCTATCAAATTATCATCTAAGATAAAATTACTATTCATGATAAGACCAACAATAAGATAATAATCGTAGAATTCATAATCATAACCTATCAAACCATTTAAGATAAGTATAGATTATCAAATTCTTTTTCTACTGATTAGTTCTCTAGTTGATTATCCTCAACATGAACATTTTAAGTGAAAGAGAATAATTCATACAATATAAAAGAAATTAGACTAGTTTTATGCAATTCTAAGATTCCTACAAGAATTAATTTCATATCTTAAGAAATAAAAACAAGAAGAAAAAGAACTAATTACAAAAATAAAAAGAAAAGAAAAATCTAAACTATGAATAAGAAATAAATCTAACTACAAAGAATAAAAATCTAATGTACAAAATAAATTGTAAAAATTAAATACAAGAAAATAGATCTACTCTATGAATTAAAGTGCTAAAAGAAATGAAAAAGACAAGAAAATAAATCTACACTACAAGCATGAATGTAAATCTAACTAATAAGCAATAATAAAGAAATTACAAAAAAGAAATAAAAGAGAAAAATAAAAGAAATGCAAACCTTCAAATTCCTCTTCATCTCCATCCTCATCATTCAACAAAGAGGAGAAAAGAAAATTTAAAGAGGAGAAAAATTATTATTATTAATTACAATAAAAGTTATAATTTTTGGAAGGCCTTCTCAATTAAGAGTAGCTCTCCTCTCCAAATGAAGTTACAAAATTTTTCATACCTCTAACGCCTCACTCTCTACCCCTATTTATAGTAAACATCAGTGAATGAGAGCCATTGGATTGAAATCTTATCCAAAAATAATAAATTTTAGCCTTAGATTCGTAACTAACTACCCAGTGTATCAATACCAGCATCGATAGGGGTATCAAACACAGAATCCAAGGTGAGGATATCCAAAGATGCTTGAATCAAGCATCGACTGCGGCGCATCGTGCCCCCAATGAGATGCGCGAGGCATCGATGCCCCCATCGATGCCTGCATCGATGCCTACCTCTCTTCTTTTGGTGTTAGCAAAATTCCTTGTTGTTTGCTTTTGGGCTTTGGACTTTGGCCTTTGCTTGACTCTTGGGCTTGGATATTTTTCTTCTTTT